TGCTCCTCTCTTGTGTGGGATTCCACAGGGCTCAGTCTTAGCCCCCCTCCTCTTCACGCTATACCTGCTCCCTCTTGGCTCTAGAAAATATGGGAACTCCTTTAATTGTTATGCAGATGATACACAGATATATGTCCCACTAAAGAAAAAGGACTCTAACTCTCTGGCCCCTCTGTTTTCATGTCTGTAGGACATCAAAGCCTGGATGGCTGTACACTTCTTAAAGTTTAATGAGGAAAAGACTGAGTTGATGATCTTTGGAAGCTCCACTGAGACTCTCAATGTCAATGTTGGTTCTTTGGCCCAGAATATCAGGTCAATTATTACAAAACTGGGGGTCAAAGTCGATGCTGGACTAAAATTAGAAAACCACGTCAGAGCAGTTGTTAAAACTAGTTTTTTCCATCTGAGGCAGCTGGCTAAGGTGAAACCGATTCTTTCTCAGCAGCATTTTGAAACAGTAGTTCACGCCTTTGTGACCACTCGGCTGGACTTCTGTAATGCACTCTACACAGGAATCAGTGATTCATGTATCTGTCGGCTTCAGAGGGTACAGAACGCTGCTGCATGGCTTTAACTGGCACACGAAAGTTTGAACACATTTCTCCTGTTTTATCCTCCCTGCACTGGCTGCTCGTGCATTCTAGGATTAATTTTAAAATTCTTTTATTTGCTTTTAAAGCTCTTAATGGACTTGCCCCGCCCCATCTGTCCGAGTTGCTGCATACACACCCTCTCGATCCCTCAGGTCATGTGATCAGCTGCTCCTGAGTGTGCCGAAGACAAAGCGTAAGCTCAGAGGAGACCGTGCTTTTGCTGTGGCAGCTCCTAAACTGTGGAACAACCTTCCCTTGAACATCAGACAGGCCTCCTCCCTGTCTGTTTTTAAATTAGGCAGCCATCTTAAATTGGGTTGACTCCAAAGTGCATCAGTTATAGAATTGAATCCATTGATTACTTTCTGAAAGTTGATTACAACCTATGGATTCGTAAGATATTTTGCAAACAGACACAAACAAAAACACCCATTTTTCACCTTTTCTGCAGCAGATAATAAAGCTAGAGAAAGATTCATTGTGGCTGATTTTCTAAAACTAATACATTACGTTGTGAATAGAAACATGCAGTTTTTTCTGGTGTTTGAAGATTTAAAATTACAACATATTTCATCAGACAGGCATGTTGCTGCTTCAAGTACAGTCATAATTAAACTCTACAAGAGCAAGAATAGAAATAAATACGTAACTGGAAATTTCACGAACACGATTATTTTCTGTTTTGCTGATTTTAGTGTGCTGTTGATTAGTCGTTTCACTTCCTGCCTCTAAATGTAGATGTTTCTGCTGTACTCCCATTTATAGAGAAATTCTCCAGGCGTGTCTGAGAGTCAGCAAGGGATTACATCTATGAAATAAGCCGGAAGCAATTGAATTATCCTTTTTATACACTGTAAGAAACTTTTTTAAAATTCCTATCATTCTGTTGGAGCACGTACATCAACAGTATCACACGTAGTGGTGACAAGAGTATGCATCTGCATGTGAGCAGCGTGTATGCCCACAGTCTCCGTACGGATTAAAGGAGGATTTTATTTTTTTAGGAATCAGACTTAAAGAGACTGAAGTCTGCATAGGAGGATTGTGTCAAAAGCCAGTTATGTAGAGTGCACGTGTCCTCGAGGAGAGGACATGAATACAGATAAAAGCCCTCTCTTGCTACTGGAGCTGAGTGAATATGATGTGCTCGTGATTGTGCGCTGCTTGCTTACTGGCTGTGTCTGATAAAGACACGGGGCAGACGCTTTGGAACGCATCAAGGTACTAAAATAAAAACATCCCGTACGTGTGCAGAAACACTCACCGTCACACACTCAGTTGGACATGGACTTGTTGATTTGCTGCATGGCACAAAGCCAAACACAAAGGGCAAGACTGCAAGACTGCAAACACTATGAAGCTATCACTGGTGGTGCCATGGCTGCCTCTGAAAGGCCTCAGTCTCTGACATCAGCAGCAGTCTATACTGTTTTAGCATCTGAATGTAATGTACCCGCTCCGTTTAGAGATTAGCAGCTAAATGTCAGAGATAAGTCAGACGCCATGTCTGCTCTGCCACAACACAAACGGAGCCAAATAAATAGGGAGGGGTGGGTGCAAACAAGTAGATGCAGCTTCAGTATCGAGCAAGTGGTTTCCGTTTGGAGACTGGAGAAATGCAACATTTCAGAATGAACAGCTTGTGCAGGAAAATGCACAATCAGGCCTGTTAGTCTGTGTGAAAATGAATCTCTCAGGATCTCCTGCAGCTATTTGATTTATCAGTGATTCATAACGTGTGTTTTTGGTCAACTTTGAAGTAGCTTTAGTTCACTTTGAAATTTTCTAAAAGATGTCCCTGGGTGCATAAATCTAGTTAAACCTTTTGCTCCATAAGTAAAATTGATTCAATGGTACTACAAAAAAACAGTCTTTTAAAGTAAAGATGGCACTTTTGTTTGGAACCACAGGTTGACGTTTGAACTGGTAAATGTGGTACTGTGTAATCGCACAGCCTGAACATTGACATAATTCATCAGTTATTTCTTCAGTGTATGAAAAATGCCCCCGGTCACAAAAGTAAAGTTAAAAATGTGATTTTCATCAAAAACTCTTGACAGATTTTTCAATTTATTGCTTCTGGAAGTTCCTGAATGAGAATGTTTTAAATTTACTTCCTCAACATAAAATTTTAACCTAAATGGTAGCTGAAATTAACTTTAGAAGATTAGGAGCTAAAAGAGGGAACAAAGCATGTCTCAGAGCACATTAGGAGAACACTAAGCTCAAGGCAAAATAAATGTTTTCTTTGTTGTGTTGGATGTTTTTCTGAGACATGTTTTTCAGATAAGCCTCTGATGCATTCCAGCTGCTGTGACCGGTATCAAAGAGCTAGCTTGATGTGTGGTACTCGTGCTAAAATTAACCGTGGTTTACTTGTGCCATTAGTGCTAAGTGGGACTGCACGTAGATGGAGACAGTTTCAAGAAGAAGAAGGAAACATATTCACGACTGCTCGTTCAATAAACTGTACAGACACAAAGAAACACTGAATAATTTGTTTGTGTTTAAAGACAAAGCCTTAGTGGTTTCAGTGCTGACAGCAGTACATAACAGAAAAAAATAATTGTATTTACACTCTTCAGACT